CAGGCTTGCAAAGCTGTCGAACGTCAGGGTGTAATCGCAGGTCTCGATGTCCTGCAGGCAGCTGGAAGTGGAGTCGACGGATTCATCATCATCCGTGCAAACCAAGTCGCTGGCATCGTCCCCACCGACGTCCTCCGAGCAGACGGGTGATGGGCAGTAGCCTCGCTCGCAGGCAAAGTCACACAGGCCGCTATCTGGGTAAACATCCGTGGTGTAACCATAGATGGTCGTATTTGCGGCCGGCGGCACATTCAGCGGACCGGTGGCGGTGCACGTGCAGTTATGGATCGGACAGAAGCCGTAGCCACAGCCATAGCTACATAGACCCGCCAGGTCACCCGTTCCTTCTCCAGCAGTACAGGTGCTCGGAGTGAAGGGCGACACCGTCGACGTAGTAAGAGGGACTTGGGTCGTGGTACAGGCTGACGGAGGACAGTATCCGTAGTTGCATGAGAAAGCACAGAGACCTGTGTAGTCGGCCGTCATCCCAGCAGCTGGGTAGCCAACTACCCCCAAGCTCTTTGGTAAATCCGCCTGAGGGCCCATCTTTTGACATAAGCAGGCGCCGACAGGGCAGTACCCCAGCTTGCAAGCAAAGGCGCAAAGGCCTTCGAAGTTACCTACCCCCCAGCCCTGGACGCAGACCTGGTCCGCGAGTGAATAAGTCGGGGTGGCTGAGGTCAAGGTAGGCGCCATAGCAGGCGTTCCAGTTCTCAATGTCGCTGGATGCGGCACAGCCGGTGACAATATCTGGGCCTGTAAAGCTCGCAATTATAGCACCGTCTCGACTGATAGCCACCTCCACAGTTCCCGCCTGAACCGAGAATGCCGCACTGCCATGGTAGAGACCTGCGCCTCCACTTGGAGTGCTGTTCCACGCCGCCTCTAAAGCAACATCCCCGACTGTTACGGAGACATCTGCTGACGAACCCAGTAGGGCGGAAAAGAATACTCGGTCTTGAGGAATCTCGTAAGGCCAATACTCCAGCTGTAGCTCGCTGGCAGTATTACCGGTGGTCCCACCGTCCGAGGCGCAGCTCCCACGAACATTCAGTCGATACCATGCTTGAACACCTTCCTGCGTGATAGTTGAGATATTGTTTTTGTAGGTATCGATAAGCCACGGGAGAAAAGCTCGCCAGCCATCATGGGGCATATTCAATGCATAGTTGTACGGGGATTCACCGGTCCCAAACGCAGTATACGTGGATTCCGCCAACGGAGAATCACTGTCCTGGATCGGGCCAATATAATGAGACTCCCCAAAATCATTCCAGGAGATAATCTCAATAAAGTCAGGCGCCAAATACATGGCCTGGACCCAACGATCATACCAAAGATCATCACCACGCCACAGCCAGTTCTTGTCGTATCCGGGCATGTTCGTGAAAAACCACGGAGATACCGGCATCATGTATGATTTACCATCCAGGAAGTCGATATAAGAAGCATCCACATAGGTATTCATCTCACTTGGACCGTACGGCCATGCCGCCCAACTAAACAGACCGTCGGCCACTCCACTGCCTAGATTCACGGCAACGTCCGCTCCAACCGAGGACCAGTCGGGGAGAAAGAAACACCCGGTCTGTTCCTTGATATCAATCCAATCGTCTGCATTGTCGGGGCCTTCAAAGGTAGAAACAAAGGGCTTCGACTCATAATGCCAGTATGCCCCGTCAGAGGTGTAAGTCTGCAGCATAGTGAGTACATCAGCCTTAGCCCATGGCCCGTTGCCTGCGTAATCAAACGAGAAGAAGAGCGACAGCCCGGTATTGCTAGCGGCAGCGAAGGCGTTCTCGAGTGATTGAGTATTTGTGGCGTCGCCCACGGCCATATTCATGGCGAATGCATCGATTTTAGCGTCGAGCGCAAGTGTCATCTCATTTTCCCAATCACTAATTGTATAGTTCAGGGTATTGGACACCTTTTCGGCCTGTTAGTGCGAAACCTCTCTGCCAGACTGCCAAACTAAGAGACCTACCATGAAATGGGCGAAAACTGCCCGACAATGGGCTCGGGTGGCCAAGAGGACGAGCCACAGAATCACTGGGAGGAAAGACCCCATGGTAATAGAGGTAATTATCTGCCAGGCTAGCCTGTGCACAAAACGAAGTCTGAAAGAGAGGGAAAGGTTTAAGTCAAGGATAAGAAAAAAATTCAAGTGAACGAATGAAACTTCTTGGTATGTCAACGAATGAATCGGGATTTAGAAAAGGGAGCGTTAGGTAGGTGAGATGAGTGATCCTGCCATAACATGGCTTCGGCAAGAGATTTCTAGCATTTACTTATAGATAGATCAAGTCTGTCTCATATGGTCGGGCTCTACGGACAACCCCGACAGGCATAGAATTACCATCATTGATCTTTTTTAGACGATGGCGAGTGAGGACTAGCTAGATAGGCCTTTGGGCTCGCGACGTGAGGGAATATTTGCCATGAGTCCGTCGGTCCACAATGAATTCCCCACCACGAGAACTGCAGTGGATAGTCTATGTTCTAGTAGCCGGGCTACTAGTCCTAGTACTGCCCCTTTCAACAATTGAAATTAGTGTCTCTTGTAGCCACGGACTTAGTTCTTTTTTCTTGATTGAGGTTACATAGACTAGTAGCACGCCGGCGTTCAAATCGGCTTCACGCACTAATAACGGATTCTGGTCGCAAATGTTCGAATCGACCATGACCAAGCTCCGTCCTCCCTCTGAGGGGGGAGAGCAAGATATGATCCGAGAATAAATAGGCATTGCTGATAGCTTTCTCGGTATGAGGCTCTCCTTTAGTTTATTTACTGCCTTGTCGTCTAGCAAGAAGCTGATTTTAATTCTGCGATTGCACTGGAACGAATACTCCCCAACCCTTCTTCCTCTTTTGAAGCTACCTAAAATGAAGTTAATCTTTTCTATATTCATTCTGGCTGCTTCCATCAACCTTGCACATTGTTCCGGGTTTACCGGCCCTTTTGAAGCTATCTTTTTCTACTACGCCTACCAAATCGATGCCGCTGCCGCTGCCAGAGCGGCCGCAGACGGCGTGCCATATGAGGCTACCATCGGGGGTGATTGCATCAACAAAGACTGCACCCTGCTGGATTTTATCGAAAAGATTATGGGCCCTGATCAGCTGAAAAAGCTCACGCCCACAACCCGGGGGGCGACTACCAGCCCCAACGTTTATGACACAGCCCTAGATATTGACCGAGCCTGGAATTACGACGGCTCTCTCCTGCAAATGGAAGTGGTAATCAAGAACGGGCAAGGCAACATGGGGCAGCTAGTCACTGCGGTCGTTAACAAAATACAAACTGCTCGAGCGGTTGTACCATCCGCAGACTTGGTAGCCAAAGCAACGGTGGCCTTAAAATGGGCGCAGGCTGTTCGGCTCACTGAGCTGGTCATCCAAGGAAAGCCAGAACTGACCGGCTACAAAGCGAAAGCCTTCGCGAAGAAGTACCCGTTCATTACCCTGGCTAGCACCCAACGGATATTGGACGAGGATAGAACCGTGTCGCCATCACTACACATTGTTTACACGGATCTGGACTATGCCAGCATGGCATTACAAACAGCAACCGGTGACTTGGCGGGAGTTGGTGACACGTACAGGGAATTTTTGAGCTGGGCGCAGGCCGTGCCTGGGAACAGTAGATATCGATCACATCAAGCGCTTGCGGACGTGTACAAGCGGTCGGTGGCATCGCTCGAAGCAGGCTGTTCATGAGTTCCTGAAGCCGAGTACTCGAGAGACCGTTCTATTTACTAGCTTCTGTCTGGTTCTTTTTCCTTTTCCTACGTTCCCCCTATCTTTCTTCTTCCGAATCTTCTGTCTCTTGGGCTGCTCCTCTCTGCTGCTGTTTCCTTCCGATTGACACAACTTCTTTACTTCATTCAAGCCAAATTTTCAGGGTCATAAAGTTAGATTAGTCATGAAAAACTGAAGGAGAGGGCGGAGGGTAAATGATATGGACTTTTCGATGTCCGTTGACCGTGACTCTTGGCAGTGTACGTAGGTAATTGGTGGAAAATTATAGTGGAATCAAGTTCAACACTCAAACATCGCGAGGATTTGTAGAAACCAAAATTACCAGCTCAAAGGCTAGATCGGGTTGAAATGGGTGGTATTGTAGGGTACCTTAATCGCCAGAAGTCAGGGTGTGCTAGGCTGTAGCTAGTGCTGAGAAACCGTACTGTTGATCCAGGACCGGCTAGCTGTTCGTTTCCCCCTTAGAATAGGGGTAATCTCTCAACTTCGGCCCAATCTGTGCCTGGATTGATTTGCGGACATGAGTGCTGGCATAGTTCTAGTAGTGCTCGGTAGGCCTTACAGATCAAGTCTAGTATACAGAGGCCACGGTGGGGTACAACGCGAAAGACCCCGACTGCAGGGTTCTTATCGCGAGGTAATGCATCCTACTAATAAGTAATTTAGGGTTGGGTAAATAAGATCCTGGCCCGGATCCGGAATAGCATCCCATTGCCGCAATTCCAGGCGATCTCGGTGAAAAGGAGTAGTTTCAATAGTGGTAGAACCGTTGCTTTCATTAGCAGCCTCCAATCTCGTCAAATTCTCACCAGTGGCAAAATCTACCTAGCGCCTGCCTGTGGCGAGATTGCCGGAAAATTAACGAAACCCCTGTCTCTTGTCCGCGGAGTCAAGTTGCTTTGAAATTCGCAGCCGTTGAAGGACCCTGGGGAAGTCAAGTAATACAGAAGTGCGGTGCATTGACAACCGAAGGTTAACATTCCAAGCCTTGCAGGGATGCACCCAATCCCGAGATCTCCGAATTTTCTCAGTAGAGACAAGCCTTTCAAGTAGGGCATCTAAAGATCCGAGTAGTGGGCCCTGGTGAGCTCTTACCTAAAACAAGCCCATAAAAAACTCTTATCAGCAACGTGAACGGACGCCGGTAACATCCTATATATTCTCGAAGTCCGGCGGATGTATCTCTTCAAGTTCCTTCTTCAGTCCCCTCCACCTCCTCGGCTCAGCAGGGGACAGACAGGCAATAACGCAAAGCAAAACTCGATCTCCAGCTACCAAATAATCAAATATGAGCGACAGAACAGAACGATCCTTGCAATTTGATAACACTGGCTCATGTCCACTTCGAGTGCCAGGATTCAGCGGAATTCCCCTGGACTATGAGTTCGATTTCAACCAACGCTTTGCGCATGGAGCACGCGAGAATTACTCAAGAAGAGCCATCAGGCTCACCGCACCTGAGGTCCAGATGTTGCGACTCATGGAACGGATCACAGACATTCCGAACTGGGAACACGATGTGTTTAACGAACAAAATCTTGCCCAGTGGCGTGCACAGGCATCTTCATCTTACGCGAGCCTTGACTCGAACTCAGATCAGGACGTGGACATGGACCTGATCACAACGAAGGCATGGCTCTGGTGCGTAGCGGAACTGAAGGATAAGGCCAAGGGTTTCCGGGACACTGGATATGTCATCGTTCTCAATGCCGACTCCGGCGTATGCAAAATCGACGACAAGGCTCTGGGTGATGATCTCCAAGAAGCACTCCGTCCGCTCTTGCCGACAAGGAAGGGTGGTGGCATTCACGATTTAGTAGATCCGTCGCTTTACATGTTGGTCTACGGCCGGACAACAGTTCTCAGCCACGGTGGTCGGGTTGCTCTGCCTGCGGCGGACGGCTCAATCTCCCAGTTCTATCCGCCTTCCACCGATCCCAGACTAGCCACGGCACCTGCGCAGGATCCCTCCAGGAGTATAACAGCCCTGATACCCCGAGAACTCTTTTATCTTCAGGATAATCTCAAGTTACAACAGGTTTCCTTTCGCTTCCAATGGCTGCCTTGCGAGGTGGAGTTTGCGGAGCCGTCGGGGACGGCAGTACGGATCACCTCGTATATTAACAATCTCCACCCAAGCCATACCCAGGCCTATTCCGCAATCGAGAAACTTATTTCTCGCGCGATAGGACCGTGGAATGAGGTCCTGGTCAAAGGCGCTGGTGGGCGCATGCCTCGGCGCATCTATACCTATGGCGTCACAGACCGAGAAGAAGAATGTCCCATGGATGTAGAACCGCCGGAGGACATTCTCCCAGTCGTGTGGAATCAGGAGATCACTCGACGCGCCTGGTCTCCGGAGCAATGGGAAAGTCACTGCTCCAAGGTGCGAGAGTATTTGACTTTGCCTGATGTGGATCCCAAGTACCGTGTCTTCGAACCCGAGCCCGGGGATCCCCCTGAGACGGAGGATCTTCTGGCTTGGATGACGCCGGAGATGTGGGCATCCCCTGCACGCGTCGCGGAGATTATCCGGGCGAAGTTCAGGCGACTGCATCGGTTCTCATACCCCGAGCCCGGGATTTCCTACACGTATGAAGACTGGAAAAGAGGCCAGACCGCGAACCCGATCTTCGGGCCATGGCCATCTGACCACGAGTTCGACCCGCCTCGAAATCACGAATACTACTCGGTGTCGCTCGAAAATCAGTTCCGCAAACAGGGTCTGCAGGTGATTGTTCAAGTCTTCAGCATCGATCTGACGCCCGAGGGATGTGGTGGTGACGATGTTGCCCATGCATACCCCGGAGATCCAGAGTTCCACGTGGACGGGATGCTCAACGAGCATATTGTCGCCACCGCACACTTCTGCTACAGCGCGGAGAACATCACAGAGTCCCGCATCTCCTACCAACAACGGGACAGGTTGCACATATTCGGCCATCAACCGGACCCCTTCTGCATCTACAAACTCTACGGAATCCCTCCCTGTCCGGGACCGGGCGAAGACCCAAACGCTCTGCCGCTGCAAACCCTAGGGTCCGTCGCCGTCACTCAAGGTCGTTTTCTCATGTGGCCCAATGCCTTGCGATACAAGAGGCTTCCGTTCTCCTTGCTCGACCCGAGCCGCCCAGGCCATCAGCGGTGCGTCGTCTTGCGGCTGGTGGACCCCCACTATCGCATCTGCTCGACTCGGAATGTGCCCCCGCAGCAGCACGATTGGTGGCGCAATGCAGTCTTGGCGAATTCCGCCACGACTCCGCTCTCGACTCTTCCCCAGGAGCTGATGGACATGGTCATGAAGGAAACAGGGCCTTGGCCGATGCAACTCTCCGAAGCTTTGCAGCACAAGGCAGACTCTGAGAAGGAGCGAGAGGAAGCCGTTCCGCACCAGCTTTTGTACATTCAATCCTACGATTTCTGGTGGGAATTGAGTTAGTGCCGAGCAGGGGGGTTTTACACCACAGTATGTTACCGTTCAGATCATGGTGGTTTGCTTTTTCGCTTCTTCGTCGATGAATAGTTTTAGGTGCCTATAACAACTTGGGCTTTGGTTGACATAGATCGTGTGAGGGACATTGTAACTTTCATAGGGCTCAGTACTTATCTGAGTAGACTTGAGTACCACGAAACTCACACAAGCCTTTACAGACAATGGACAGAATTCGCAGTTTGAGTCAGATCTTCTAGACCCTTTTTCTTTACCAAACTCACAAGAAGCACTCTTTCACAGAGTTGTTACTTTCCATGAGACTGGGCAATGGAACCATCTTCGCTCCGATATCTTTAAGATTCTTGCCCCCTTTTGGAGCTCCCACGATGGAGTCTTTGAGACGGGAAATTAGAATGTCCTCAGTCAATAGATCCCTGCTAGTCTAACCATGGTAGTTCACTACATTTGCACAAAGATGGACCATAACTTGCCGTATGATACGAGTTGCGCTGCACCCAGGAATTAAACTTGCGCGTCCCCGTAGCACACTCGGGAACTCGGATGGTCGGATGCACCCGCACTCCGAAACGGGGGACGGAACCAGGGTCTTCCGACAGGTTCCGGGTTCTCTATGTACACCCTGCCCCGGGTTTCTACCGGGAGTCCCAAAACACGGAACTGCAACGGGAGAGTGGGTATGCTGTATCGTGCATGGCTGGGTGAGGAAGAAGCCTGTCAGCATGCATTGGCAAAGCGCGCTCCCTCATCAAATTAATTCTAAGGCTCCGGGCACGTCTTCTGACTTCCTTGCCCCCTCTCCCTTGCCCCTCTCCATGGCTACGTCGTCCATTTTGCTGAGAAATCCGGGTTGAACAAGCCTCAGCAATGGCATCAGCAATACTAATAGGTTGTACGGGACTAGTGGTAAGCCCCAACCATGCCTTCTTGGCCTTTTAGCATCGTACCCTGGTACAGAGTACGGCGTGCCCGATTTGCACACTTACTGACCAAACGCTCTGGAAAAACGATAGGGATCTCACATCCTCCGAAACCTCATCTCCAGCGAAGCCATCACCTCAATCAACACCTTCTCCCGCCGCCGTCCTCCGGGGGCATCGTCATCAGATAAAGTCCACGCCTTCGTCTCTCCAGACCCAGCCCAGTGGGTTGCCCATATCACGCGGCCGTCCGAAAGGCAACGACCCACGATCTTGTTCTCCGCATTCAGGTCGACCCGCGCCGCTGTCGGCGGCAGCTTCGAGGCCCAATCTCTGATCGACCACAGTCTGCAGCTCGAGCTCGCACGGGCCGCCCGGCAAGCGGGCTGTCGGGTGTGCGTCTTGATCTCTTCGTCCTTCGCCAGTGAGCGTTCCTGGATCCCGTATGCACGCATGAAGGGTCGATCTCAAAGTGTTGCAGTTTGAGAGAACCGTGATTCTCCGTCCCGGGATTATATTAGGGGATCGTGGTGAGAGCCGTCCTGGGGAATGGCTCGCACAGGGGCTGGTGCGGTGCGTTGGGAGTGTGGCTCCTTCTTGGAGGGATGCGCTTGGTCAGGATGCTGGCGTGATTGCTGAGGCTGCTTTGAAGACTGGACTAGGGGGCTTGGCGGGGGGTTTGGGTGGGGAAGATGACGGTTCTGGGGTGTGGCTTGTGGAGCGGAGTGATATCGTCAACGTTGCGAGGATGGAGCCAGTTTCGTCGTTTCTTTTGTGAAGGAGTTTGGCGGAGCTCTTTAAAACATCACAGTGTTATCGCAAAGTAGCATGTGTTAGTTCTCTCTTCTGTTACTTGGCCTGTTGGTCTAGCATAGAAGCACTGCTCCTGCGTAATGTATAGTACCTGTACTATGTTCATATAGACACAAGATATTGGTTGAATTTTGCTGTTGCTGATCTAAGACCTACTGCATCACTTGCCTAGCAAACAGTAACGTCATTGATCTCTTGTTGTTGTTTACTATGTGTTTGATCAACTGTGTCAGTATTTTCAAGTGAACTGATCACGTGATCCAGGGTTATTCACCAAGTAACTATCCACGCAAAGGGAAGTCAATCAACTACAAACACCAAGACCTTATGACATTCAGACCGAGTAAGCCTTCTTGATCTCCCTAGTCAACATACCACAGTTTTATGTGAACTAACGAAATGAGTATCTTTGAGAAGGAGCTGCAAGATTCTCTGCTGAGACATGATATGAACCCTCAGCTGCACCACATTTCAAAAAATTCATATCGGCCATGGACTGAGCACCAGCACCAGTGCTATAACGATTCAGACTGCTCCTTAGCTGACAGCAGGTGAATGGACAGTTAGACGCCATAAAGGGAAATTTGGGCGTGGAAAAGCATGCGGCTGGGTAGGGACTCACAGCGCTTTCATCTTGCATGTAACACGCTCCTGCTTATCCTCTCCTCTTCTTCATTCTATATATTCCCCACCGGTACCTCCTGGCTGCCTTTAGAGGCATTTTTTCTCCCGACCCTGGTCACTCCTGCGTGTTCTCTGTCAGCTAGGAAATCTCGCCCGTGCGTTAATGCCCCAGCTGAGGCTCAGCGAATCACAACCTCCTCTCAGCTATCGAGTGTTCATTCAGCTTCTCTTTATCAACAACTCCACTCCCCAAAGGCGGGTCGCGCGCATCAAGAATCATCCCCAATATGTCCCCCTCGAACCCCGACACGATCACAATCACGAGCCCATCTGACCTTCAAATCGTGATCGTCGAAAAGGCATCCACAAACCGGGAAAATGAGCCGCAGCCCCACAAAACCAAAACCATGAACGTCGACCGCGCCACGCTCATCAACGGAAGCCAGTACTTTCAGAACATGCTGACCAGTCACCGCTGGGCAGAATCCGACCGCGCGACGATCACCCTGCACGACGACCACATCGTCGCCATGGAGGTCCTCCTGCGCAAGCTACACGGGACCCTGGGCGCAATGAGCGTGAAGGAGGTCTCCGTCGCGGACGTGTGGCACCTGGTGCGCGCGTGTGACAAGTACGGCCTCAACCCGAAGGACTTTCTGGCCTGGTTTGCATCGTGGGCGGAATACGCCGAGACCCGGATCAAGACGCTTTACGACGGCGACGAGCTGAAGTACTATCGACAGATCCTGTTCCCAAGCTGGGCGACCGACCATACGACCCTCTTCGCTGAGGCGACCAAGTCCCTGGTCTACGGGAGCGAGGAGCATATCGTCGAGCGCAACCCCACGAAGGTTCATCAGATGCATCTGCCGCCTTGGATTCTGCGTGAGTATAGCCATACCTTCCCCTGATATCTCAGGCACTATTGTTACCTATCTAACGCCCAGACTCCCCACAGAGCAATTGAACGCCGTCCGCGGCCGCCTCCGCAACATCGCGCACAAGGGCCTCTTCGACTGGATCGCGACGATTTTGAGGTCCCCCACCCCCTCCCCGTGCTGCGAACGCACCGTCTTCGAGTTCTTCCGCGAGCTGCAGCGCATCGGCGTCTGGCCGTTCGAAGAGTGCATGCGGCACAGCAGCATCGACGATCTGGTCTTCCGCATGGAGAGGTTCGACGCGAGCAAGATGCGCGAATACACGGATCCCGGGACCCGGAAGCCGGTGGATTGTACCCATTGCGGATGCAACTGGGAAGCCGCAGTGGCCGGCGCCGCGAAGCGCGTCGAGGGATACTTTGATGGGCTGTGTCTGGACTGCATGGACAACACGAAGAATCTGGAAAAGGGTGGCGATCGGGACCGGGATTACTGGGCGTATATGCTGCCCGGGATAGGTACGATGTAGGGTGCCGGATCAAGCATGGCGAGCCGACCTGGTATTTTAGTTTCATGGGGAGGCGGGAGAAGAAGGGGTTGATTGCGGATGTTTAGGGCGGGGGTCTACCTACCTCATGGTTGAGACTGGCTTTGGGAGGAGGTTGGGGGCAGGCTGTACTGCTCTTTGTGGCAAGGCTTGCGATCTGTGGTAAATGATTCTTGTGGACGATTCCTACGATCTGCTTTGTTCTGTAACCCATGGCTTACTTGCGCGGCCTTCATATCTTCGTTTCCCAACCTCTTCCTTTGCGTTCTTCTCCTACGCCTATCGTGACTAGAAGGTGATCTTTTGCAACGAGGTCATATATCTGCCCCATGAGAAACCCAGCACTCAACAAGACATAAAGGGAACTGCGGGGAGCACTGACAGAGAGCTCCCGCCCCGGTACCCTCTTGCAGTGACGGTATTGAGGAGACCGCTGCAGTCGCCAGGGCTCCTATCTCCGCACCGTGTAAACCTTTTTCAACACAAGTTTACAGCTACTACTCAGCTCGGTGCAATGCGATTGTCATTTTCGCCGCTGTCATCAATCCACCGCCCCTCGTCTCTCTTATACCGCATTCTATCCAGATATGATCTGAGGTTTATCAGCAAATGAACTCTGAGAACATGATGAAACCGGCAGATCCGAAATTATCAATCATGTCTCCACTGGCAATTGTAACAGACCTCACTGGGTATATCAAGGCTTGAAAAGCCCGAGCGAGACCCAAGGAGTAAATATACCAGCCCGACCAGATTAAATTTCCACCATCTCCACGCGTCCAACCTACCACCCCGGATCAAGAATACCGGAGGGCAAAAAGGTTGGAGCTGCGGGGAATCGAACCCCGGACCTCTCCCATGCTAAGGGAATATTATACCACTAAACCACAGCCCCAATCGTTGAACACGGGCTCGAGAATGTGTTTCCTATTCTAATGCATTGTGCAGCAGCGCGCTTTCGGGTTACGTCAGAACCCCCCTTGGTAAGAAAATCCCTTTGTGCGAGAGTATCTGTCAGAATTCCGGTGATTTAAGAGATGTTGTATACTATCTAGCGAGTGTTCTTACTGGAGAAGGGTGGATTGAATACCTCCGTGCTGTTTCTCGGCTCGTTTGGGGTGATGGTGGTTGTAGTACTTCATAGCGGGCCGAGGGGGTAAGTTACAGTGGTTGTACTGCAGTTTGCTCCGGTTATATAGAGTTATAATAAAATTGTATAAAGTTCTGACTAATTATAAGCCCTTTAAATCTAGGAGTACTAATCTTTATATAAATAATAAATTATACTAAAACTATATCTTTTTTACTAGATCTAAAGTAGTTTTTATACTATTTACTATTATAATATACTTTAATCTTAGAGTTATACTAACTGTTGTATTCTTTATTTATATTTATTTATAATAATAATTTAAACTATTGTTATAACTGTTCTACTCTGTGAACTAAGATATAAGTAAGTATAATTTTATTTAAATCTTACTAAAAATGGATATTATCTCATCGAAATCTTACTAAAAATGGGTATTATTTTATTAAAATTTTATTTTATTATTTACTTTTTTCTTAATATAATCTTTCTAATTTTTTATATATATAATTATTTACTGAAGGCTAAAATCTCTTTAAAAAGAATATAGTAATTATTTTTAATGCTGCTTACTAATAATACTAGTAGTAATTAATAACTTGAAGATGCTTTTGTATTCTTTTAATTATTAGTATTATTATTTAGTATATTAAAATATATAAATATATCTTAATCTCGATCGATAGTATAATACTGTAAGTTTATTTTTTAAGTATATTATAAGATATCTATAAACGCGTCTTATATCTATTTTTTCTATTTCTAAATTAATATTTATAATTCTTAAACTTAATATTTTATTAATATTTTTATAATAATATATTTTTACTGATTTTATAACAGTAATCTAACTTATATTGTTATTATTATACAGTCTATTAAAAAAAGAGAGGTTTAATCCTACTTTTTTATAAATTTTACTTTTTTTTTTAATAGATATTATACTACTAGTAGTCTTTTTTTCTTATTTTATTACTTCAAGTTTTTTAGTTGCTTTATATATTAATTTTTTTTACGGCTAAAAATATATCTTAAATAAAAGAGTTAGGCTTTTATATTCTTTGCTGGTTTAATAATCTAGAAATCGAAATATTTAGTCAGACAGCTTTACTAAGTATATTTTCTTTTTTATTATATCTACAATTCAACTAATCTTTTGTCTATTTAGAAACTAAGACTTTTTATTTATTTAACAAACAGAAATCTGATGGTAAGAATATTCTAGTATTAGACTAATACCAAGCCTTTCTTTTATTAATATTCTATATATTGCTAATAATTTAATATATAATTAGAGTAGATTAACCTGACCGTTATACCTTAATCTTAACCTGACCATAATCTGGCGGTCAGGTTAAGATACAAAAAAATTTTAACCATACAATTATAGTTAGATTAAGATATAACTATTATTTTAACTGTTTATATCTGCTGGTTAAGAAAATTAGATATAATAAATAAGTTAATAACTGTAGATTAATTAGTAATATATATATTTTTCTTACACAGATAATATATAAAGTATAATATATTTTTAATTATAGTATAATAATATTATCTAGATTTAGCTTATCTACTTAATCTATTTAATTTATTTAATTTATTTAATTTATTTAAT